CAAACATATCTTTACAAATATGTCAGTGTGTGTTATTGTTTGTCTCAAGGTGCACATCAGTAATGTTTTTAAGGTACATTTATAAAATCGAGCTACTTATATCCTAACTAAACTATGGCCTAATCCTGTTTTATAAGCTCTGTCTGTGAAACCAGGCCACAGGCTATTTGCATATGAAGTTCATGTATTTATGCTATGTTTTGACCATATAGTCTTACTCTAAAATGATCATTTTCATTATTTTAAATACTAAATAATAATAGGATTAAAAAAAAAGGAATATTGTAATTCCAGATTAGCAGGCAAAGTATTACTGTCTCTAGTCTAGACCAAGAAGTTTTACTGTGGTTTTGAGGTTGCAGATACAGCCCATATAGTATAAGTCTCCCACAGTGCCCCAAAAAACAGGAAAAGAGGAGAGGAGTGTAGTTCATGCCCCCTCCACCTTCCTGAGTGAGCCGAGGGGAAGTGTCTGAAACATTAAAAAGTGGTGTTCTCAGCACATAGCTGTAGTGTACAGGACAGGATCTATGTTCATGGACCTCTACTTTGCATGGCCAACATTCCTCTTTGACCCCACATAAAGACACCATCAGAGCTGTATTGTTTTGTGACATGGTTGAATTTGATGAGTGAAGAAGGCAGCGGACTTGGCACAGATGAAGTGCAGGCTGCTGATAGGTCATTCACTTTGAAAGTAGGAATCTAGGCTAAAGTAAATACTTTTCTATGTTTATTACATGTTTGCACCATCAAATAATTTATTTGAAGGAATTTGATCATAAGTAATAAAGTAATACTTAATTAATAATTATGTAAATAAGTAGAGTAGGTAATGCTTCTCACCACAAACATCCATAAATGGGATTGTGCATTAAGACTGACATCTGACATTTATAAAACATTCACCAAAAGAACAGGCACATTCTCAAAAGTCTGCAAGTAAACACTTTTGGACTTCTGATATGTCAATAGTATTTGTTTGAGATTTCAACATGCGTCTGAAATCAATTGTCTCATGGTCAGAAAAAAAAGGTTTACTTTTACACTAAGCTGAACTGAAGTGGAACTAAATTGAGGAAACATAGAAATCGCATACTTATTTGTATGTACTTATTTATACATATTTATTTTACTTATTTGTTTGAATAATTTGTTGTATAATTTAAACATATTTACCTTTTAAGTACTTCACCCAAATAGAACAAACAGAATGTAATCCCAGGATTGGGTAACATTTTATTTTATGGGTAGTTTTTGTTTAGTAATGTATTTGCACGTTCCTCGTTTTTTATAAAACTACTATATCAAATACTCTTTTTGTAGCGTAGACATATGAATGATTTGTACTTAATACAGAGAATGCTAAAAGTATTTTAAAACAAGAAAATACAGATTCTGTGACAGGTACAAAAAAAAGGCAAAAACAGCTTGAAATACATTAGTCAGATAGTTAAACATAAGACGGTTGCGGTAAAAGTCGCGTTATCACATGATTTCAGATATCTGGGAAAGCACAGAGATATACACAAACCTTTGGAGACACACACATTTCCAAACCTCTTGTTTCAATTCTAAAAAGCTTGATGTTAATTATTAACCTTGAATCGATGCTTAAATATAAGAGTACAAATTCCTACACACATTCAAAGGACAGTCCAAAGCTTCACCATGAAGACTTTAGCTGCTTTATGTGTTACAATATGCATTCTTTATCAGGTTAATGGAAAGAGCATAACGGACCATATGTATGTATAATCCACAAAAAATGGAGTGCATGCTACACTAATAGATTTGGAAAATGCGGGAATTTTTTTTTTTTTTGTGTGTGTGTTAGACCAAAGTCATGCACTAGAATGAAGTTGGAATTGTAAGTGATAATTATTTATCTTTCTCAAAGGCAAGGGTCAAGACGAGAGGTGCGGGAAATTAATGATCCCGGATCAATCGACTGCAAAATGAGTGCCTGGTCCCAGTGGACGTCCTGCGACCCCTGCACTAATAGGACGGTACTGTAATTCCTGTTCTCTCTCTGTTTCTCTTTAAACACCTATCTTGTCATCTGTCTCACACTTGTGAATGTATAACGTCTTTCAAATTGTCATGTGAAATCATTCTGATTTAATAATAATCCAACAAGTCGCACAACATAATCTGTGCCTGTGTAACACAGCATCGCTCTAGAGGTATTGAGGTCTTTGGGCAGTTTAAAGGCTCTAGGTGCATAAACCCAATTGGAGAGCGGAAACCCTGTAAACCTTCTACCAAATGCCAGATGGACCCTCCACCTGTCTGCAAGAGCTCTCAATGGTGGTGCTCTTCAGGTTAGTATTTTTTTCTCTTTGCAAAGCTGGCCAGTAGAAATTCAGTTGTATAGGGTGAATTTTTAAACAATAATCAGTATTAAGAATATTACTCTGCCCTAAGGAATATGTATAAACAAAAATCTGAGGTGTAACGGGGATTACGACTGTGGAGAGCCTGATACGTCTGATGAAGATGAGTGTGATATCATCAGAACACCTTGCGGCAAGACAGCTGTATTTGAGTCTGATATAGCCATCCAAGCTGGATACGGGTCAGAGCCTTTTGTATCTCTCAATATTTGCTCATAATATTTTAATTAAAGTTCATCTGTTCAACATATACAAATGTTGTATTAATGAACATAAGGTTTTATTCAGCAAGAATACATGAACTTGATCAAGAGATATTTTGAAAAAAAAAATCATCAAAGAATTCTGAAAAAAAAAAGCTGCTGTAAAATATTGTTTATTGCTATTTCACATTGGGGTTTGCATTAATGAATGGTAACATACACTCTTGCAATTTCTTTAGGCATTATGGAACAATTAATAAAAAAAATTTTTTTTTAACTGTAATTATGAAATAGAATAAAAGTAATGACTGACAACACAAATGTTGCCATTAACACTACAGTTCTGGATATACAACTTCAGCACATTTTCTAAAGATGCTTAATTCCTGTCTCAACAGAATAAATATTCTGGGATCTGGACCTCGAATGAATCCCTTCAATAACAGATTCTATAACGGTCAATGTAACCGGATCAGAGAACCATCCACATTGGAATATAACAGACTGCCTTGGAATGTTGGAGTTCTCAACTATGAGGTGGGTCTCTCATTTTACTGTATGCTTGATGTCAGCTGTTGTTTTACAAAGCTTTTGAGTATAAAAGGAATAGTTCACCTAAAAATGAAAATTTGCTGAAAATGTACTTACCCTGAGGTCATTCAAGATGAATAAGTTGCTTTGGAACAGATTTGGAGAAATGTTAGCAGTACACCACTTGCTCACCAGTGGATGCCCTGTGAATGGGTGCCATCAGAATGAGAGTCCAAACAGCTGATAAAAGGACACAGTAATCTTCTGAAGCAAAAAGCTTTGTGTTTGTAATAATAAACAAATCCATCAGGACAGTTTTTAACTTCAAACCATTGCTTCCAGCTAAAATAGGAGTCATCTATCTATATTATTGCTTTCTCAAGTGAAAGGTTCTCTCATCTGAATCAGGAGATAAATATGCACAGATAGAGCACTGTTTTGGTGTGAGAGGGCAATAAGTGACTTTTTCACTGAAGACAGCGTTATTGTGGTTTATGGACTCTTATTTTGGCCAGAAGCAAACGTTTTAATTTAAAAAGCTGTTTGGACTCTCATTCTGACAGAACTCATTCACTACAAAGGATCAATTGGTGAGTAAGTGATGTAATGCTAAATTTCTCCAAATCTGTTCTGATGAAAAAAAAGACAACTCTTGGAGGTACATCTTGGATGGCCTGAGGGCGAGTAAATTTTCAACAAAGTTTCATTTTTAGCTTTACTGTTCCTTTAGCTGTGAGGCGTGAGCAAAACAAACTGTAAATCTCCTAAAAATGACTGTGAGACAAACAAATAAGTAGTTAAATGCATTTAATTTCTAACAAAGACAACCATCTAAAAAAAAAAAAATTTAAAAAGTCTTTACCTGTTTCCTTATCTTCAGACAAAAGTGGAAGAGAGCAGCTCTAAGGAGATGTATGAGGACATTCACTCTTTAATAAAGGAGATATCTAGGGAATCCTCTACATCTTTTGAAATAGGCTTAAACTTCAAGTTTACACCTACTGAGCCCTCCAGTTCTGGTTCAGGTGAGGCTGGCAGTGCTGGTGGAGGTGGTGAAGTTGCCGGCCCCAGCGACGGTGGTGAAGCGGCCAGTCCCGATGTGGGCGGTGCAGTTGAAGGTCCTGGTGAGGGCGGTGAAGCTCCAGGTCCTGGTGATGGCGGTGAAGCTCCAGGTCCTGGTGACGGCGGTGAAGCTCAAGGTCCTGGTGACGGCGGTGAAGCTGAAGTTTCTGGTGCAGGCCAAAATACTAGTCCTGGCTTAGGTTTTAGTGCGTCAGTAGGATTAGCTTAGAAACTGAAAAGTTCAAGCATATATTTCTTAATAACTAAATTCCACAGCTTCACTACTAGTAGAGAGACGCTGCCAGGTCGAATTCATTCACACACGCAATCACTCTCACTAATGCGTTCATATAATGTAATCTTTACTGTGCTACTTTATCTGTATCTGATTTAGGACGAGCAGAAATCTGTGAGAAATATAACGACCCAAAGACAAAAGAACTGGTCAAAAAGCTGTTATAGGAGCAACAGCCATAGCTGTGCACAAGGTGTTTGTCACAGCTCCAGACTTATTTGTTCATTAATGACGTCATCAGCGACTAGTCGACTTAGACTCGACTTTCATCACATAAAAGTCGACTTTAAAAAATCAGAAGTCGTTCAACCCCTACTACAAACACATGTTCTCTTTCAGAGAAAGACCTTCATGAGAGTGAAAGGCAGTGTGCAGCTGGCAACCTACAGGATGAGACAGCGAGGGATGGAGGTGTCCTCAACGTTCCTGGATGATGTGGATGCCCTGCCACTTACATATGAGAAGGGCCAGTATTTTGCTTTCTTAGAGGACTATGGAACACACTTCACCAAGAACGGAAAGTCTGGTGGAGAATACGAACTTGTTTATATAATGAATGAGGATGTCCTCAAACTAAAAAGTAAGTTAAAAATCAAATTTCATTAGTTTTTTGTAAAATATGGAGACAAAGATATAGGCTACATGATTCAATGACAAGGCATTAATGAGAAGCATAGCTCACATTTTCAGCCTGAAAGTCTCATTAAAATATTTGTTTTTATTTGATGGTTCAATTTAATCTGATTGCAGAGGTCACAGAATCCACAGTCAAGGAATGTTTAGAGCTTGGACTTAAGGGTAACTTCCAATTTACTCAAGCAGTAACAGGAGGAGGACACATTAAACCAAAAAACAACTGTGATACACTAACAGAAAAACCCACAGGTGTGTATGAGTATACATTTTTAACAGTAAGCTATTAGGATTGTTCACTCAAAACTGAACAATAAAATGGGGTCCAGTGTTATTTTGGCCCCCACTGACATTCATTGTATTAATAAAAACAGTTAATTTACAGTAACTTTACTATTTGTGTAAAAAAAAGAAAAAAGAAAACAAGGTTTGGACCTGAGGGTGAGTAATTGAAGATAGAATTAAAATTTTTGTTTGAACTATCCCTTCAAATTAATCAGACAAATGCTTTCTGATAAAAAGATAAATTGCTCACAACCTTGTTCACCAGATGACAGGAACACGAAGGGGGTTATTGATAAAGTGCTGATTGCAGTGAGAGGGGGCAGTCCGGCTTCAGCAGTAGCCATGAAGTCTCAGCTCACTAAAGATGGCATTCTAGACTATAATCAGTATGTGGAATGGGCAAAGACCGTATCTGCTCTGCCAGCTCTCATTCACAGTGATGTGAGACTCGCCTCGCCTTTACTTTACTTGCCAGTGCATGCGTGGTAACTGCTGTAATGGAACACAATTTGTTTTCATTGTTGTGTTGACAGCCTGAACCCATCTACAACGTGATCCCTTTGGACTTTCCTGATGCTCAGCCGAGACGGGAAAATCTCAGAAGAGCCCTGGATGACTATGTGGCCGAGTACAGCGTGTGTAAGTGCCAGCCGTGCCAGAACGGTGGCTCTGTGATCCAGGTAGATGGGGAGTGTAAATGCATGTGCCTACCAGGGACTGAAGGTGTTGCGTGTCAGATCATTGAGATGGAACTGGTGAAAGGTGTGTTTCTGTGTGAACCGGCCTGTAAAACGTCCATAGCATTCATTTGTGTTGGTTTGAGTTGAGCGTTCCCTCTGTCTGTTCAATCACTTCTAGCTAAGTCTTTTGAACAACTGGGAAACTGGGGCTGTTGGTCTTCCTGGTCGCTCTGCTCCGGGGGGCGTCGCAGACGAACGCGCACGTGCGATACTCGCGGTGTACCAGGAGGAATCTGCAGAGGAGACACAACTCGTGAAGACTACTGCTAATATAGTAGTTCAAATACACAAATAATCATGAGATAATAAAAGTGTTGCGTACAAAATAAAATGCAAATTACAATTGCATGTACATTCAGATAGTTCTCTCATGAAGAGCGGTTTAGAGAAACACGTTTGACAACAATGCCATCTTGTGGTCAATAGTGCAACCGAAAATAGTTGCATTACAGAAACAGTAAGCTTTTCTCATATTGGCTACCTGACTTTTTGCCTACCACGGCCGTAACATACAGTGATGGTTTCACAAATAAATTTCATGTCACTTTAAAATATACCATGGTATGTATTAATTCACTAAATACCATTACCTATTTGTTTCCTCCTCTCCCACATCATACTCATAACAATAAGGTGATATGAAAATCAAAGAAAAACTGGTGGTAATTATGCTGTCTGTTAGTAAAGCCACACGATTTACTCACATAAACAAGAATTTACTAGAGGATGAATGTCAGTGAATGAGACCTTTGCATCTTTGATCACTTTGACTGTGAATTGATAGTAACCTTAACCAGACGTTAAATGATATGACTGGAATCCACTTACACAATACAAATTTTTAATGAATTAGCATCCTCATATTATTATTTATATAATATAATAATATAGCATATTTGAACGTGTAATTTAAAGAATAGCCTTTTTTAACGAGAACTATTGTTTGGGGGCACACAAAGAAGAAATGAATGTATGAGGAATAGATATGATGTTGAAGTAGATGGCTCACTTTTCACTCTTCTTGGGCCTCTAGAGGTCGGGTTAATAGAGTAGCACTCTTAGCTCCCTATTGAGCCTCTGAGAAGCTCCTTTCAGCTTCAATACCCTTCAAAAAAACACATTATATTCAATTTAATTCATGTTTATTTGTATAGTGCTTCAAAATTGTTTCAAAGCAGTTTTACAAAAAATGCATGTTTCTACATTACAAGTAATTTGTTATCAGAGGTGACTCTCAAAATAATGTCCATATGGCAGAGTGTATGTGTGTATATATATATATATATATATATATATATATATATATATATATTCAGATGTAATAATATTGATCAGAGAAAATTAAAGAAAGGGAAAATATCTCAAAGCAATGAGCTAAAAGGTGCACCTCCTGCTTCACCCCTAAAGAAAAATCTAAAATGTCCCAGTGCAGTCAGATTCTAACTTCCCTGAGGTCATGGCATCCATTGAAGTTTCTTAAGAGCTGTCACGCCACATTACCTTTCCCATCTGTCTCAGAACCGTGAAAATTAAGCTATGCCCCATGTCAGCACAGTTTTGTCTCTCCTCTCACACTCTTTTCACTGCTCCCCTCTTTTTTCTTCATCCCCTCGATGGAAGAAAAATTAGACATAGAAGAGCAATCAAGTCATATGCACCCATGCAGTCCAGCTCACTACTCACTATTGCAGACTAAAGTATGCTGATGGTGTGGAGGGGTCCTCTGTTTGTCCATGTAGGGTCATTCAGAAAAGGCCCTTCACTGCCTGCCCTTCCCCCAAATTCCTTCTTTAAGAACCCCTTAAAAACCAACCCCCTCTTCCCATCCACTGGCCTGACAACCAAACCTTTTCTTTCTCCTGCATTCCCCTCTCAAAATGTTTTCATGTTTGGTTTATGTCAACAGCTGAAATGTACTATGGATAAAGTTTCCACAAAGAGAAACTGCTCCATGTCTCATTGCTTATGTAACACTATGATGTAGATGAACTGTGTTCAGTTGAGAGGACTATTGTGATTTTTTTTATCACATCCTGAATCTCACATTAAAGCCAACTCAATCTGTACACATGCTGGCACAAGTTGCACAAAAATTAAGAATTTGAAAGTAATAGGAATCTTAAACACAACGTTTTCTACTTGCTTTTCACTTCCTTTACATTTAAATCTGTGGACATAACTGGATTAACAACGGTGTTGTCAGTTTTAAAGGGGCCTGTTCTCAACAAAAACTGGATGTGACAGGTTCAACACAGCATGCCTGATCTGAGAAATGGCTCCCCTTTTACAAAGTCCCAGTGGGGCCCTTCACCTGATGAGGATGAATAGTCAGTTCACCTCGTCTTGTTACTTCAAACTGAGAGAAAGCAACAAGTGGAATAGTTCAGTTACGAGTCAGTATGCATTCTTGTAAATACTTTCAGAAAAGAAAGAAAGAAAAAGAAAGAAAGAAACCTAAACAAAAAATATTTCACCTCTCTAAAATATGTAAATATATATATATGACATTGTTGTTGCTTATTATGTTATAAAGTAGCTAAATTCCAGACTATCAATACATGCATCTTTTCTGACAAAGTTTTACATCACACAAAAAAAATGAAATCCCCAAGGTTTTCCTTACGAAACTAAAATACTGCTTATTTATCCTAATGATTTGCTCTCCCAAAAATAATGTATTTACGTTTTTTACTTTTTCCTATTAAAATGCATTACTAACATGTATAAATACAAATAAGGCATAAAAATATTGAAGTTCGTAGTTTTTGAAAAAGTAACCTCCTCCATTTGGACCAGATTAACATAATTTACATTGTACTATCTTCTCCTTCTGCTCTCTCAAGAGCGTTCACTCTGCTCTTTCTAGAGGTGTCAGCTAGAAGACAGAATGAAGTGCCAGGTCATTGTGTACTGCCTCTATTGTGTGTTTAGTATTAGCATGACAGAAGTGCCACTCGACTTCTCCTTCATTCATTAAGACTGAGAAGCCTAGTCCCACGTCTGCCTTGAAATGAACTAAGCACCACGGCTGCCATCTTGGATCTCTAGAACTCTTGTAGCACAGTATAAAAATGCACTATTTTCTCAATGATTCGTTTCTGTGAGAGGCTGACCTTTTTGAAGGTGTTGGGGGGAGGGCAAATTCTATTATATTTTATGGCATAATACCTTATTGCTCTTTTGTATTTGGAATGCTAACTAGGTATCAAGCTGGTATTGTTATATTAAACTTAACAGAACAAAGAGGCATATGGAATCTAAGAGATTTGTACTACCCAAGTGCTACTCACACTGAGAAGCAAACTCTTTTGAGCAGCGACAAGCCCACTTACACACACAGTAGCAGGCTGAGTGCGTTTGTGATGGCTACTTGAGGCTTCATTCACACGAACACCGCTTTTTTCCTTGTCAGCCTGAGTGAAGACTTTAAATAAACACTCGGGCTTTGAACAAATAAGCCAGTCTCTTGGCTCATGCTCAACTCTGATCCTGTTTAAAGACAACCTCATTTGTTTCCTTAGATGTTGAGAGTCTCTGGGAACCTAGACTAACTCCCTCTGTAAACATTTATGTTTACAAGGTCAAGTGCAGGCACAGACAGAGCCAAAATGTTTGACTAGCACATGCTCATGATAAAGACTTTGGTAACATTTATAAACTGCAGGGGATGTCAGGTGGAAATTAAAGCTTTTTTGATGATGGCAGACAAAGAACATTATTGACTAAATTACTTTATAATGACTTGGGATATTTAAAGCTCATTTTATAGCATATTATAAAATTTAATGAATCTGCTTTCGAGTGTACAATAGAAAGTAAAAACATACATTCATTTAGCTGACATCAGATCTGCATGTAAAGTTGTTGTATTAGTTTGTATAGTGAAATAATCAGACACAAGTCAGATGATCTTTGGAATAATGTGAAGCCAATCTTTATGAACATTATAAACAGTATTCCATGGTATTGTTTATCAACATTATTCACACAATTATATGATACAGAAACATTATACACATTTACAATAATCATTTTGTTTACACTAACCAATCTTTCATACAAAAATAAGCTAACAATATTTATTTATCTCTTTGAATAGCAGTTTCCACAATAGTTCATAATAACTTAATATACAGTATACTAGCAGAGCATATATTTCCAACATATTTTCTTTAGCCTACATAAAAGACAAATTACTCCTTTTCATGGTGTGCGGATTTTGGTGTGCAACTAGGTTTTTAAAAACAAACTTTCACTATGGGATTCTGGTTTTCTTCTTTATTTTTATCCAGTGGGCTGTTTCTCTCGTGTACCTGTACATTTTAAGCGCCTATAAGCAGAAAACAGGGCTTTCTAGCCAAGTCCCAACCCCCCAAAAAAACTAAAAGTTCGAGACTAACATGTTTTGCCCATTGAAACATAGGATACTTCACGCGGGGCAGCTAATACGACCAAATACACTGTGTGAATTATTCCGTTACTCTTTCAGGGGACTATTTTTCTGTCAGTAATTTACGATATGAGATTCGTGTCGTGGTGCGCCCGCACTTCAACTAAAGACGTTCTATACAAAACACAAAAGGTCTTGTCATATTTTTGTGTGCAGGCTACATCTACAATAAAGTGTTAACATGCTACTTTTATCGCGGGAAAGTGATCACGTAGCGCTACTGTTGCTTTTAGTAACCTTGAGACTTCCCAAGTGTCTTAATACTTGGACTAAAACGTCGTATATATACACACTTGTGTATATAACCCCTCCACACACACACGCACCTTTTGTTT